CCCCGGTTTAAACCTTCACTTGAATCCACTACCGAAGCAGTCCAAAACCCCACCAAACCATTCAGGCCCACGAAATCTCAAATTTTCCTTCGCAAAAGAAACCCACGAAAAAAAACCATTTACCCATTTTCCCCAGCGAACCGCAAAACCACAAACCGATAATATACAGGCCCCCGGAAAACAGGAAATTGTCATCCATTATTAAAGGCCTATGAGCCCGCATGGACATCGAGGAAATTAATAATGGTGGCTTCAAATTGAATGAAAGGGCTTATTAATAATGGTGAATTGAACAAATTGAAAAATGAGGCTAAGCCCAAGCAGGCTCCGATTCACAATAAAGTAGAGGCTAGTATATCCTATGTCCAAAAAACTAAATCCACAACCCCAGAAAAGGTAATCGGTCCAAAACTGAACTCAAAGTTTCCAAACCGTAAACCCACAGCTGCTCCAACTACTGCTGCTCTTCGAATCGGAAATAGAAGCCAAAATCAATAAGATTGCGGCCTTAATCTCCAAAATTACTGGTCTAAATCTTTCACACCTTCTAGCACTTTCTCCTAATGGCTAGAGGGCCTACCACTGCAGAATGCAGAAATTAACAAAGAAACATCCGAGCAGATTTGCACCCACGAATGAGTAAAAGATCGAAATGACTTAACTCGATGAAAAATATCCACAACACGCCAGACCATCACTGCCAGCATGAGGCAGAGTGTTTACGAGCATCTCTGTGCTTACCCATTTTGCATGCTGCCTACAAACATCTACATAAAAAATGTAAGGAAATAAGTTTTTTTAATGGCACCTACTAACTTTTTTGGCCCAGTTTAGCTTAGTTTCTTATTGTTTAATCATAGCACAATTTTCAAACAGGACCACAAAATGATCGAAAACATTGTAACGTTGGAATTAAAGGTTGATATTACTTATACCCACTTCTAGTCTCAACATAATTCGCTAAGTTGTAGGATGGTGAATTTATCCAGCGTTTTATGCATTTTGCGTAATTCATATAGTTTACGGAAAAGAATATTATGAGTTGAAAGTATCTCACAAAAGATTTTACGAATAAGGTCTCCCGCCAATAAGTTTTCAATAATCTTATTACTTTTAGCTCCATAGCGTGCTGTTGGATCATATGTAAGTTTGCGTCAGGATACTGTGTTATTCGGTAGCATGGTCATTCCATATATGTATTCTGATTTCATCATGACTGCTATAGAATTGTCCTTGTCAGAGAATATGACTATAAGCTCGGGGTCTGCTTTCAGATATGCTGACAAATATTGAATTCTCTCAGTATGAGGCAAATGCGCCGATGAAAGTGCCAACTTTTCATCCGGTTTTGGAGGCAGCTTAATTCAGTATTACCAGTTGACATTACATAAATATAGAACAAGATCGGTATCAGTCATACTCCCATGATGTAATTCGGTCGATCGTGCACACAAATCTGAGTATCTAATGCCATAACGGCTTTTTAATATTGAAAATAGGTATGTTTATTTCCTGTTTTATAAGATAATTTCAAATAATGTATTTAAGTTGCCTGATGCGGCTTATTTCTATACCTATGTGCAAAGTTTTAGTTAATTTTTTAAATTAATGTCGTTTGGTTGATCGCTGAGTGCTGTGATGATCAGGGGTTAAAGTCTAACATCTTGGTTTCGTGCAATTTATCTGCAAAACGCTGCAAGTTGTTTTCCCCGGTACTAGATTATTGAAATTTGTTTTTAATTTTATATTCATAAAATTCACACATGTTTTCATGCAATCGCAGCGTAATTGTTCATGGTAATTTTTTTACTGTCCTTGTTATTAACTCTACCTAGGATTGCACAGGGAATGGATAGTTTAACTATTAAAGCTTTAAGTGTATATTTTCAGCACGCTGTTTCCAACCGAAATAATTCGTTTGCTTACGTCGTAATACCATAATTTTAAAATTAGTATCATACTACAATGGAGGAGCCTTAGAGATTCTGCTTAGTAACATTATTAACCTTTCGTGTCCAAAACCTGTTTAAATTATTTAAATACTTCTATTCTCATTATTTGGTTTTTACTTTAAAGTGTAAATCATAACGTGCTCAGAAGTTGAATAGTAGTTGGTTAATTTTTAGAATATCATTCCAAGAGTGAGGTAAGAAGAATTTACATACAACTATGATTGATATAATGACTATGATTTGGCACTTTTTTGAATATTATAATGATGTCTATTATCGCACTAGTGTTTTTTGCAATTTATCACCGCAAAAGTATCAACTTACTATTATTATATAGGTACCGATCGTTTTGATAAGAAAAACAAAATAAGTAGGTCAATGACCAAATAACGTACATAGAGTTTCATTAATTATTAAATAATAGAACAATAACAGGAACTATTTTTAGCATATTTATTTTTCAAATAAGTTCCACAAATTGATACGTATTTATATTTAGTGTAATTTTTACAGTTAAACGCACAGTTAATTTCATCAGGTGATTTTCATCCACTTTCGCTTCGGTTAAATTTGTCACTGTTGGGGCTCTATTCGAGTGGTAAGTAAACTTGAAATTTTTTCAAGACCATCTTTTTCGGTGAAACTCTAGTTCATTTTGAAATGTCTTTCCACACTGAATAATTCTTATACCATGGACCAGAATGTTCCCAATTATTGCTCAAACTACTTTATTGTACAATGTTTAACAAGAAATGAAATATTACCAATACATGTATATGAAATACCTCTATTTATATTTATCTACAACTGTTACATAAGGACTATGATTTGGCCCTCTTTCGAATGTAATAATTATGTTTATTACGGCATTAGTGATTTGAAAAATTCTTCACATGCGTGCGTTAATAATATTTATATCCTACTGGTTACGTAAATAACTATTATATTTACATATTCATAACTCTTCAGTTAAAATGGTATTTTCAATCACAATTTATGTCAGTTACTTTTCCCTTTGATATGAAACTATATATGGCGGATGGCAGATGAAAAGAAAGAATGTGCAGTAGTTTGTATTTCAATAAATAATGTGTTAGGCACATAACCATATTGTCATATCGATATATAAAAATCGAACAAAATGGAAAAGCTATTTATGTAAAATTTCAATGTTTCATGTTCAATGGAAAACTTTAATAGATAATATTTTCCTAATTGGTTTAGCTCTCAATTTTTATTACTAATTAATATTAAAATTTAGAAGCATAAATTTTACTTAAGATATTTCAGAGTGGCACACTTGAAATTTAATAAAGTTTTTTAAACCTTATTTAACAAATAATTAAAAATGAAATAAATAAATATTTAATAAATGTGTAATATAAATGAAAATTTTATATCATTAAATAACTTAACTCAGGATTGGGTTGAAAAACTCTTATTCTGAAAAACACGTCTGATAAACAGGTCGCATGACTATTATTCTCCACTTCATATTTTCAGTTCTATATTATCAAGATTGACTTATTCGTTATTGGTCCAAGGAATTATAACACGTTAAGCTGTAATAAAACAATTCACTAAAGTAAAGTTCAATTCTATAAATGAGAGGTGATGTTCGCATAACATCAGATGCTCCTTTTTTTTGCTAAAAGGAGCATCTTCTGAAATTGTCAAGATGGGGGTACCGGAAAACAAACCCTCAGGCTTCATTTACTTTGCCGTTCTTGCAAGTAAGTAGACCACACAGGATTTATTTAATGAATTTTAATCAAAAATAATTTATAAAGAAGCAAGTATTTAATATTATGTTACCATTCTATTTATTATTCTGATTTATTTTCCTGACTGCGTGTACTTGTTATGATATTCCTATATTTCCTGGGTTTCAGTCAAAGTGTGAAGTAAAAATTTTGAAACATCGTTTATTTCATTACGTTTTGGCGAGACAACAGCACCATCATCAGATTTAAAATTTTGCACAAACTCATGATTGGTAAAAATTAACGTCCTTTTAGGTCTTTGCCTTCTTGAAAAGCTTGAGTTTGGCTAAATTATTTTCTACATTTGCAAATGATATCAGGAAGGATAGGAATATCTATTTATTATATTATTTATACAGGGTGATTCAAAACAAAAAACATCATTGCCGCTTTGAATTTCGATCAAAAAATTGCAGAACAGAACTTTTCCAATATCGAAAATTTTCGTAATTTGGAGCAAAGATCGTAATTTTTCTTTTTGAATGCTTAAGTATTCCAATATGCTACCAACTAAACATGGAACAATTTCAAAATAATGCTTAATAGGAAAGTTAAAATTCGATTTTCAACTGTTAATATCTTCTAGAAATTTTCGTACTCCCCAAGTGAGCCTCCATCACCCCTTAAAAGGAATGACGCCAATTTTGAATCACCCTGTATATTATATTACTGGAAAAGCTGACATTCAGTATCTAGTAGCGTGACAGAAGTCTAATTGTTGTGTACGTATACAATAGATTAGATTGTAATTAATTCAACTACGTTGAATTAAATGAAAAAAGTTTCTTTAAGTTACGTTTATAATGAAAATATATGCGAGAAAACGTTTTGCATTTATACAGATAAAGTCAAAGTTTTGGTTTTTTATAGTAGTTTCCAAATAGCTCTTACAGCTCTTGAGATAATTTACTTAAACTTGCAACGCACAGGATTGTATTCCGTCACTCAGGCCCTCTTTAACTATTCAGAAATGTTTGGAAGTCTACTGACTGCTCATTTGAAAACACTTGGATTGCTCGTCGAATTGAAACGACTTTTCATGTTTTGTATTTTTACCGTTTTTGTAACCGTTGTCGAATAATTTTAAAAGTTTTCTGGAATATTTTTAAGTAAAAAATTGAGAAATTTGGCCAAAAGCAATCTTAAGAACGTTAAAATAGTTCACGACCTCGGTCGATACACAAATAAATATTTTGATGAAACAACTCAATTGCCAAATTTGTGATTATTCTTATCACTAAATAAATTATTTTTAGATCTAATAGGCAGTGAACCAGCTATGCTGTTTATTGTTTTGGCTGATTTTTTGAGAATCAGAAAAAAATGATTGATGAGATTAATTGAATTTTTAATTTACCAAATTTTTTGGTTAGAACTACAATAAAAATAAAGTAAAAAAGTAAAAGAGGAGGAGATAAAAGTTGCTAAATTGAATGCAGAATTCAAGCGATCTGTGGTGATTGAATGCTGTAGATAAATAAAAATATATAAAAAATTCAGTTTAAAGTGAACCTACTCCCCGTTAAACTATCAGTCTATACGATTTTGGATGTAAAAATGTGTGAATTATCTTAAGTCTGGTGTAAATATTAGGGTAAATTATCCGAAAAATTATTGTAGCTGTGGGGAACAAACTCTATAAAAAAACCCAAACCTTTGACACAAAATGTTTGCCTACGAATGTCTTACGAGATTTGAATTGAATGCCACCCCGCTCCAGCATGCTTAAAATATATTATCCTGTAATAAGCTATTTTCCAAAAACGTAATCTTTGTGAGTTCTGGAAAAATAAAATTTGATTTCTTAGCACATTAAGACAGTTGAAATTAAGCAAGATAATTTCTCCAAATTTGGAAATTTCACAATTACGTTGTCTTACAGGATGTCTGCTGAGGTATTAGAAATATTTCGAATATGAATTCTAAGGTGAGTTTTCAGCGGTATTGTTTAAGAAATTTAAAATTAGCGAGTTGCATTAGTAGCATAGAAAAGTGTATTTTATTAAAACTGCACTCACTGCGTAATTACTATTAAAGCTGCTCAATGTGGCCACAGCCTTGTGCAATGCATGATTCAACTCTCTGTAGTAGCCTCGTTGAAAGTTGTAGTTTTCCATCTTGTTTTTAACCCCATCAAACGCCACATATATTCTTCAAATGTCTTGGTTCCCGAAATTAGGCTTTCCCATTAAATAAATAAGTGTTTTTGCATGTCCTCACATAAAAAAGTTCAACGAATTGAAGTCTGGGGATAGCGGAGGTCAACCAATAGGACAATCAGGACCTATTCATCGGTTTCGATAATTTTTATTGAGAACATTAGTGACACCTCTTCTGAGATGGGCTGGCGCACCATTATGTGAAAAGAACATCTTCCTTCTGTTGTACATGCCCTCAATAGAAGGTTCTCACGTAGTGCAGATAAAGTATGATGCTCTGTTTTTCAGAGCTAAAGACTCCGTGACAAACGTTCTTATACCGGTTATTAATGGTAAGAGCGCAGTCCATTTTCCTTGCAATGTGCCGTGTACGGACGTCTTATACTGACGACTAACTAGAGCAATTCTTCCTGTACTCTCTTCGCCATGCTTCTCTATCCTCATTGACATATTTGTAAGGTCCTTCAATTAGTCTATGAATCTTACAGGAGATCTGCCTCTCGATATTTTGCCGTCCACTTTGCCATCCCGTCCTTCCGTATCACTTAACAGAAATACTGAAGGAGGTATATCCATAATCAACAGACAGCATTTGGTCCTATTTAGTTGTAGGCCTGACTCCAAACTAGCAGCTTCCACACGTTGAAGTATTTCAAACATTTCCTGTTCGTTTTGTGCCAGAACTATCGTGTCATCTGCATATCGTAGGTTTGACACTTTTTCAGCCAATAGAGACTCCGCTCTCCTAGTTTTCTAGAACCTTTTTAATAATCCATTCTCCTTATATATTGAAGAGAATTGGGGAAAGAGTGCAGCCTTGGCTGACTTCTTTTCCGACGCTGAAGTATGTTAAAGGTTTCTTTTCTATTCGTACGCGTGGTATATTCTTGTCGTACAGGGCTTTTATGATATATATGAAATGCTTTGGAACCCCCTTTTCGCTCAGGATAGTCGTTCCCATTGTACGCTGTCAAGGGCCTTGGTGTAGTAAATGAAACAAAATATAACTGGTACGTTGTACTCGTATGCTTTTTATATACTTTCTCGTAGGCTCATGAGTTGGTCTCGCGTTCCACAACCGGGTATAAACCATGCTTGTTCTGGGGGATCTGAGGTAGAAGGGAGGTTTTTCATTCCTGTGTGATTTGTAAGAGGACTTTGCTGGCATGACTAGTCAGAGCGATGGTGCTGTAGTTGCCGCATTCATCTTTAGCCCCCTTTTTGTCTATAGGGATGTAGACTTATTATGTCCATATTTTGGGTCATTTACCGGTTTCTCATAGTTTTGTGCAGCTCTGTTGTATTTGTTGCCGCTGCTCTTTTTGATCAGCATTTTAGCGACGTTGTTGTCTGAGCCAGGAGATTTCCGATTATTCAGTTTTCACAGAGCGACCTCTACTTCGGATTGTAGCGTACGAAGTTCGAGTTGCTGGATGTCATCTAAATCCTCGTCGCTCGTCTCGTCTTCTGAGGCCATCAGATTCTGACAGTATTACCACCATCGTTCTTTGATTTCAGTTTTTGTTGTTACCCTAACTCCATATGTGTCCTTGATTGGAAGGTAATGGGCTTTGATTGTTATTGAAAGCATTTTAACTTTTTTTAAAAGATCTCTAACCTGGTTTGGATTAGCATGCTTTTCGATGTCTTCGCATGTTGATGTGATGTACAGGTTTTTGTCGTTTTTTATACTCCTGCTAATTGTTTTGTTAAGTTCGCTATATTTGTATTTATTGTCGCCATCACTAATGCCCTTAATTTTAAGCACTCTCCTTTCCGTTATAAGATTCCATGTTGGTGGAGTTATCCATGGTTTTTGGGATGCTCGTTTCTATCTGTATCTGTTAGTGCAGCTGCAGAATTAAAGGCTTGATCCCTCTTTGTCCAGAGGTCATCCATGCGTTCTGTTCTGATCCATGTCTTGTGTGATAGTTGTTGAAGCTCCCTCGATGTTGTGTTTGAATGTGCGGTTGTGACCTATGTTCCAAAAAAAAATTCCGGTTCTACTGTTCAGAATATTATCAACAAGATCAAGCTTCCTCTTGTCCAACAGTGTGTTTAAAGCACGCATTCTATTAAATGGTTTGTCTGCACGACGGCGTTATGTGTATAGGTGTCAGTATTATCTCACCGCGGCGGCACGAATCATTCGAGTACATTAAAAGAAATACATTCCTATCATAAATAACGTACCCAAGCAAAATGAACCGAACAAAAGAAGTGCAAATGGTGACAAATTACGAACTACCAATCAGCTATTGGTTTAGGGTTCCAGCCAAGCAGCTAATTATTAAATTACCAAATCCCCTATCTGCAATAATGTTTACCAACTACTTCGATACCTCGATAATTCGTGAACCATTGAGAATTCACTAAACGTGAAAACAATATTTGCTAAAAATTGGTCATGTAATTCATATTCGAAGTATCTGGGATTCTTCGGCGGAACGCCTGTATAGATGTGAAAGAAAAAAATATATTTTTTTAAGTAAAAAACACAAAATTACGTCGACATTTTGGAAATGAAAGAACCTTATTTTAGAGAGATGTGTATTAACATATTTGTCTATTTTAGCTTCACTGACCTCTTTTGCAACTGGTGTGTGCTATGTATGGACATCACCATTTATCCCCAAATTTCAATCACCAGATCAAGAAGTAAATCCAATTGGGAGACCGGTAACCATATCGGAATCAGCTTGGATCGTTGCGGCCATGAGCTTAGGACTAATTATTGGATCCATTTTGACAGTTTTTATTCTTAAATTTTGCACCAAAAAAACTGTTTTATTGTTAGGAGTTGGTCCTTTGGTACTAGCACACGTTATATGCATTTTTGCTAATCAAGTACTAGTATTCATATTCGCAAGAATGTTGATGGGAATAGGAATAGGAACTATATGGACTGTTCTTGGCAACTACATTGCAGAAATTGCCGAACCTAGAAATAGGGGTCTTCTGGGGAGTTTTCCTGGTATAACCTCCAACATTGGCAATCTTAGTGTGTATGTAATGGGGCCTTACTTGAAAATATGGCAGTTTAGCATTGTGCAACTTGTTCCTATATTGTTATTTTATATTGCTTTTGGATATTTTGTTCCTGATAGTCCATACGATTTACTTCTGAAAAATAGAAATCGGCATGCCGAAAACAGTCTGAAGCGGTTACGGCGAACCAACAACATTGAAAAGGAATTAATTTTTGTTCAAGAGACTGTAGCTAGAGGCAACGATAATAAAATGAACATTAAAGATATGTTTCATGACCGCAGCTTTCGCAAAGGTTTAATGATCTCTGTTACTCTTATGATTTGTCAACAACTTTCCGGTTTTATTGCCGTTGTCAGTTATGCTGAAACTATTTTTTCTCTTGCGGGCGACTTTATCCCATCATCTGTTTCTCCCATGATTCTTGGGTTAGTAGCGATTGCCACTATTGTCGTAAGTTCAGGATTAGTTGATAGAATGGGGCGGAAAATGTTACTTTCAAGCGCTTGTATTCTAGAGTCTATATCTTTGTTTGCGCTTGGTTTATATTTCTTTAGGCAAAATAATGGACAAGATGTATCAGCAATTTCCTGGGTGCCAATTGCAAGTCTTGCCATTTTTATGGTTTCCTTCAATCTGGCAGTTTCAACTGTACCTTGGATTATCACTGGGGAAATATTTAGTCCTCAAGTCAAAGCATTTGCCACCACCATAACTTCGTTCAGCAACTTCATGGTCAACTTTTGCGTTATTTTAGGTTTTCCATATATGGTAGAGTTGTTAGGTATGGGATGGGCTTTCTGGTTCTTTGCTTTTTGCATGGTTTTGGCTTCGGCATTTTGCATTTTTATTTTACCGGAAACCAAAGGAAAAAACTTTATCGAAATTCAAGATATACTAAAAAAGTAACAAGTTAGTACAACGCTTTTTGCATTTAAAGTAAAAGGTCTGATAATTATAAAATCTATTATAATATTAAGATTAAGTGATAATGTTATAACAATAAATTTTTTGTAATGTTGTATTTTAATTAATTGACCTTAACTTTACTTCAATTAAAACGAAACACACGCACTTATATTGGCTTATTTATAACTTTTCCAGTGTGTTTCAGAATAATATGTGTTTGTTTATGTAATATTTTAAACTTTGATAAAAATGATATTAGTTAATTATTTAGAAAGTTTATCATATTTATTCTACTTTAGACTCATTGTGCACATACATGGTAATTGGCCAAGATACTTTCGCGATTAAATTATTTTGATCTATTTAATTTCAAAATGCCATGTTCTTATGTTTCCGGCAGATCACCAGAATAACCGAACTGCACGAAACTACAGGGGTGGCTTATATAGTCAACTATATAGATGCTCTCTATAAGCGACTTCCCATATTTGATGAGGATTTTCTCCCCTAACAAAACGTGACGACAAACCAACACTTTCTGCAAAAGCAGGCCGGCGTTTCCAGCCTGCTGGAGTGTTGATTTGTCGTCACGTTTTCTTAGAGGAGGAAATCCTCATCAAATATGGGAAGTCGCTTATACAGCAGCATTTTCTAGCAGGCTGGAAACGCAAAAATCCAACACTGTGTGACTGATCGGATTCGTGCCCCCTTGCTCTGCTCGGTGGTGCTGGCTGGTCTTTGCACCGACGAGAGATGGAGGGCGTGGCCTAGGCCATCTACCAACTAAGACTGCCAGCGGTTTACGCCACGGCTGACATTATCAAGATTAAAGGTTGAAGCAAAAGGGGTTTTTGGCTTCCCTTCAGAAAGACCTTTTATCCTTATGGAATGCCCCTCGAATAAATTGAAAACCGCCACTTTAAGATTATGTCCTGACGTTGTCGTGCATATGACTATCTCGGGAATGTCCATGTTAGGGCACGTAGGGGATCGTGGGCAAAGGAAGCAACCGGAAATATGTTGTCACTTTGTTTGTGTCTATACCACTGTGAATGTTTCATAAATTTTTATCTATCTATCTATCTGCCGTTATTAAATAGAGCATTCTATAACGATTGTAGTAATATATCACATCGTTAGTTTTTTTTCGAAAATGAAATGTGCAAATGATTTTTACTTTTCAAAATTAAGTTGATCGTAGTTTACCATGGAAAAAGGTATGGGGCATACAGAGTTTCCATAGAGAGAAATAATAACCACGTTTTTCAATTTTTTGACATTCAAGTGTTAATTCAAATTACTTATAAGTCAAGAGAGCGTCATTTTTGAGCTTGAGTACTTCTGGGAGTTTTACTGAAATATAATAGAAGCTGCAGATTTTAATGACATGTCCATTGTTAGACAGATTCCACGAATCGTTTAAAAAACGAATGACATGTTAAAAAAAACATAAATGGTATTCCTAAAAATTATTAGTATCCCAAATAATTCACATCTAAAGGATTATAAGCTGCGTGAGACTTTTTGTAGATGGTTCCGAAACAAATGCCAACACAACGTTCTTCAATCAAAATTATTATTATTATTAAGCCGAATTATTGATAATCCAAAAACCGGTGAAAGTAGGATATAAATCACAGAAGAAAGCCAGTAAAAAAGAACAAAAATGACCTAATGCGACAAAACAATTGCAAGAGTTCATATAAGAGCAGAAACCCCTCCTGCAGAAAACCTCATTCGTTAACGTATTAAATCTGACTAAAAATTTGAAAATAAAAAACCCTAGCCAGAATCTAGAAAAATGAAGCAAAATCATGAAATACAAGTTAACAAAATAGGACTAAAAGTTCTACATCTACAAGATAAAAAACAGGGGAAAACAAACGCCAAACTTGCCGAAAACTGCATCGTGATACCTGAAAAGAAAGAATATGTTTAATACTTGAGGAAATTTGTTCCAAACCATTAAGAATAAGAAATGTAAAGAATTCATAAAACTTCAGATGCTTTTCGAAAAATTACTGTACAAACAAGATAATTTAAAGATCAGAAAAAAACGCGGTCTATTGCAAAGTCGTAAGAAAACTTCAATTAGTAAATACAGACATTTAAAAGGAGAGGACTGGATGTACCTAATAAAATAAAATGTTAGCGAACTAATAAATATCTTAAAACATGGACCAAGCTATAAGAAAAGGCTATTATTATTAAACAGAAGCATTTTAAAAAGTTATCTGTTTTACTCACTTAAAATGTCATTACTGTAAAATCAAAATTATCGGATTTAGCGATTTTAGGTTACAATCCTACTGACAGTGTCAAGCGCTCAACATAATTCGGGCATATTATGTTGATATATTATGCTGAATAAATATGGGCACTAGTTAGTAAACTGGGCATAAATTATGGCGTATTTTCTACTAGGGATATTATGGACCGATAAAACGCAATTTGCAAATTGTGTTTGTTTAATCGGCACATCTTTGGAATCAAACAAATTCCCAGCACGTTGAACAAGGAAAACCAAATTAAATGGTTTGGTGCGGAAGGCAGGTTCAAAAATTATTGGTCCAGATATTTTGGAAGGCACCTTAAATGGTAGTAACTATTTCCAATTATGGAGATTATGCTACACGATTTAAATGAATGAATAAAGTCTTCAGTATTTTACTGATGCACCTCTTCAGCTGTAAGTTGCGGACACTTTCATATTCTTCTATAACTCCGACTACTGCCATTTGTTTGCAAAAAACAGGGTTGCAGAGGTTCATTAACAAAATTCATATTTCCTGAACCACTGCAAATAAATAAATCGGCATTATTTAATTCAATTCCAAAAGGTTTGGCAGACATTCTGCATCGATTCTGACACTTTTGTTATATTTCATGCTTCTGCTGCTATTTTCCAAAGTAGACATTAAAAAAATGGCAAAAGCTTCACTTTTTTAAACGGCAACTACCATTTCTGACTCCAAAAATAAATGTAAAACTGAATTTTAAGTCCACTTTTATTAACATTGTGTACGTTCATCTAAAATCCTTTATTGGCATTTTTTTGGAAGAAATATTACCGTTTTTTTATCAAGTGGTCGGCTATAGACGTAATCCGTAAATTTGTTGTTTTTATCAGAAATCGTAATGCAGGAATATTTTGATTGTTGACTTTGAAACACTGCAACAGACGCACGAATAACAAAAGTGTTAGAATCAATTGCAAATGTCGGCTAAACCTTGGAAAATTGAATAAAAAAATAGGAATGGTTTAGGAGTTATGATTTTTCAAATAAACCTCAGCATTCCAGTTTTTTTGCAATAAATGTCACATATGTCAAAAATTATGACACATAAGTGTTGACAAACGGAAGTTTCAAATTCAAAATTTAATGCTGAATACAAATAATGAAGTCAAAATAGACACTTTCGATTTAAAAAAGCCAAGATATTGGCTTTTTTAAATCGATCGATTTTCGATGCTTCCGGAAGCGAAGCCATTTTGAAAAAACTATATTTAGACTTGCAGCAGTTGATTATGTCTGCTTGCCAATTTTAATTTCATTCCAAAAAACCTTTTTTTTTGTATGCTTGTTAATAAACAATACACATATATCTCGTTTTGCTTTTAGTAAGGGTTTAGGGTTCCGTTGAAAATTTAGTTCTTTAAAACGGTTCCGTCACCAAAAAAGTTTGAGAACCGCTGATCTACAGGGTTCAGTGATAATAAATTATTATGAATCTGCTTTAAAATACTAATAATATTAGCAAATGTGAACGTACATCTTTAAGAGCTAATATCGCAAACTGCAGCAATTTCTTAAAAAGAATGACGCCGATTTTCGAAATAGGAGCTTTTCGATCAACGAGCTAAAGTTAAAATAGAAAAACATCAAGTTTACAAATGTTAACATAGAGCTACGACAAGAACAAAATAATCCTCAGTAGTTTAATTTTGAACTGCCAACATCCGGAAAAGTTCAAAATCCGCAGCCAATTTCCAAAAATTAATACTTTGTTTTCAAATTTTAATCGATTTTTTAATAAGTTCCAAATTGTTAGAACTAAATAACTGCTTTATCTGTAAAATTTTAGTTTTCTATCAAAATTTTAAACTGATGTTGAAAATGTAAAAAAACACTGCGAGCCAGTCTATTTTCAGGCATCCAAAAATAGGAAAAGCGGCAGCAAAAGGCGCCTGTTCTAAGATATGTTTGGAATTATTTTCTCCTGCACAGCCAAGAACATTTCCTTAGATTAGACTGTGATCTATTTTTGGCTATTATTCGGCCTTAGCTGCAAAAATAACACCATGAAGCGTCTCGTTTCGTTCGAGCTGGTTATTTAAAAGAGTTTCGAGTTTCGAATGTATTATTGAAATTACAACACACAGGTTCAAAAAAAGCGTAAAGAAAACTTGTCAAGCATAATAAATTGAAAATATCAAAAATTTAAATGCGGTGTTATTAGCATGTCATTCGCATATGGCTAAATTAGCTCAAAATTGTTATTCTCTTCCTTAGTTCGACGCAAACCGTTAGATGCGCCTTCGAAAGGAAAGAAGTGCGACACCAAAAGAGGAAATCGATCCGCGACATGCACCACCTCTTCCGTGTCACGGACGTCCTTTTTTCCGGTCATTTTAAATAGTCACATCTCACGTGTACTTTTGGAATTACTGTACATGAAATGTGCCAAGAAATACAATTGGTACCGGAAAAATTCGGCTATTGGTCCGACCACTAGTACCGTTTCCTGGTTTTCACGAGGAAATCAGTCATATGACTATTTGTGCTTCACAAACCACGAATTGCATTAAATATACTTTTAACATCAGTCAATGTACATTGTCTCACAGAAGAATGATGAAATGAGAGCTACCGAAGTTGAAAGCATCCGCGCACCTTGCTCACCCACTAGTTTCTCAAATATCAATTTATTTATGAAGAATCGTTTCAGTGCCGTTTTGGTAGAAGAAAACAGCAAAACTAGTATTCATAGTGAATGCGGCTACGCAAAAAACAAACGCAGAAAATATTAATCAAGTGGTAAAATTGCACAAATACATTAGTACTCAAATGCTCAAAACTAATTAAAAGTACTGGGCTTTCAGCTAAGGTA